ACAAATTAAAATATACCAAGCAAGAAAAACTTGTGTTTTCCAGTCTAGCCTGTTGGGGCACCATACCCTGTCTCCAATGTCCTCCCTCATCATTCCCTGGGGATCTTTCTACTCCCCTCCCCTGCATGGTATTTTTTTTCTAAGCTTTATACACTCTTTTTTTTAAAGCCTATATTTATTTATTTATTAAATCATTTTATCGGGGGTTCATACAGCTCTTATCACAATCCATTCATACATCCACTGTGTCGCGCACATTTGTACACTTTTTGCCATCATCATTTTAAAACATTTTCTTTCTACTTGAACCCTTGGTATAAGCTCCTCATTTTTCCCCTCCCTCCCCTAAACTCTTAATAAAACCTAATAACTTACCCTGCCCGCCAATGCATTTCTAAAATAACCAGACAGCTTCAGAAATCAATATTACATTTTAATGTAAATTTACCCCCCCCACCCCCAATACATTTTAAAGATGTGCATAGGGACAGCCTTAAAAAAATAGATTTATTATCTGTGATGGCTAATGTTAATGTCCACTTGGCTAGGCTATGATTTGGCAGACACTAAGCAACTGCCGACATTTTGTGATCTGAAGTAAATAGCCAATCAGTTGATAGGCTATTTGGGTGTGGCTTGCCTGCAATCTATAACTGGATATTCTGGCAAAGTCTGACCTCTGGGTTCTTGGAATGTAAGCCTGCAGAAGTCTGTCTGGCCTGCTGCCTGACCTGCAGATTTTGGATTCACTAAGCCCTGCAACCTCATGGGCTAAGAAATGCTTCCAGTCTGCGGCCTATCCTGCATATTTTGGGTTCATCAGGCCCTGCAACCACAGGAACTACCAGAAGTTTTTGCCGTCGCCTAACCCATGGATTTGAGACTTGCCAGTCGCATAGTGGCATGAGCCATTGCCTTAAAGCAAATTTCTCACTATTGGTTTTGTTCTTCTAAAGACTCCAGAATAAGGCACTAACTCTCCAACTAGATTGTAAATCCTTCAAATAAGAGAATATATCAATTGTTTCATTTACTAGTGATCTGATAATAATTATGCATATCTACACACTAGAATGGAAGCTGTACTTCTAGAGCCGAGGACAAGTTCCTAACATATGCTCTTCATTTTCACTGCCATCGAGTCAATGCTGACTCACTGCGACCCCTGTGGGTTTCTGAGACTGCAACTGTTTACAGGAGTAGAAACCCAATCTTTCTCCTGAGGAGCTGCTGGTGGTTTTGAACTGCCAACTATGAGGATCGCAGTGCAACACATAACCACTACACCAGCAGGGCTCCTTCTAGCACATATTAAGTGCTCTAAAATATCTGGGTAAAAATGAACAATTTGCTAGTATAATCTCTGGCATACAAAAATATTTTTACATGACAGTAATACAATAAAGAACATGAAGGGACAGAGCTGGCGAGAAACAACGTACTCTCCTTGACTCTTTCCATTCTTTCATTATCTTTGCTTCCAATGCCCCTCTCTCCTCCCACGGCTGAATAGCTCTAGGACCTACATGTCCCTAAGGAAAGAAAGACTAAATTATGGAAAGACTGAATTACAATCCTCGTGGAGGGCAATCAACACTGAGCTATAGCTCTGCATTATAAAACAGCTCTCGTGCCATCGAAGCTGTTTCAGTCCTCCCTGCCACGGTCACATCTACCTGCTCTGTCCCGTGCCCGCTGAGAAAAGAAACACTTACCAAAGAGCTATTCATAGTGGTATCTGTTGTGCAAGCAGCAAAGTAACCTTCAGCATCCGTAAACTAAAAGAGAGAAAATAGGGTATAATATTCAGCTACACTCAGTTTTAAGGTAGGACTAGCCAGGCACAAATCAAAGTAGTAGAACCAAAAATCCAGAATAGACCTCTAATAGTATCAAGCCAGTGCCACTGAGACCATTCCGACCCCCAGCGCTCCTAAAAGACAGTCCAGAACTGGCCCATTAGGCTTCCAAGGCTCGCTTATTTACCAAAGCTGACTACATTGTTCTCTTACATAGCAGTTAATGAATATGATCCCCCACCTTCTGATTGGCAGCTGAGTACTTTAGCCACTGGGCTATTAGGACTACAACTCTCATTAATAACAGCAACGACTGACTGAACATCACATGCCATGTACTCAACCAAGTAAGGTAGGTACTATCATCGTAATCTTACTATTAAGTGCATAAAGAACTAGATTTGGCCTTTTGTATCTAGTTTCCGAAAACAGCCTGAGCAATTAAGATGCTCTGGGTTTTCAAAATAATCAGGCAGTAGCCTGGCCAGCAACCATTAGGAAGAAAGGAGGCATGATGGAGTCATGTATATTCTGATTGATAATTGTACTAAGGCCCCCATCACACATATTTGAGGTTCTAATGACTAAGGGGCTCTGGACCTTGGAAGCCTCTCATTAGATCTTCCTAGATTGGTGAGACCATCATGCATGGGAGGAAGCCTCATGCTTACCCACTGAGCCACCAGCGCCCCCGTAGTATAGGTAACAGTCCCTATAATTGCTGTCACTCACTAGAGAGAATTAATGAACCCATGAGGGCAGGCGAAACAAAGTGGACTTGTGCTCTCCACCTCTAGGTGGCAGCAACAGAGAAAGGTTTGCAGTGAAAAACACAGCTCTAGTTTGTGTCGAATTCCAGGGGACTGAGAGCAAGAGGAAGAGCAGCTAGGCTGCAGGGCAGGACACTGGGCCAAATCCGGAATCTGTGGCTGCTTCCTGAGGACCTGGCCTCGGGTGGCTAGGGATGTTCTGATGCACCTCAAGATCGCCAGGGATGATCTAACTCTGGAACGCTAGGATCTGCGAGAGAGTTTCTGTCACAGAAAGGGTTAGTGATGAGAAATGGAATGTGCGAAGGGGAAGCCTGGATCCAAATGTAAGCGGAAAGGAGATGGGACGCTGCTCCTTGCCGCATTGTTCAAGATCAAGGTGGGCTCTCCCACCTTGTCCCTTCTATAGTGCTGTGCTAGTCGGTGGCATCATCCTCACAAAGAGGAAAATCAGACTTAAAGGTCTAATTTAAATAACAGAGCCAGAATTAAAATCCAATTTAGTGAATTTTCATAGCTTATGCCAATTTCACACACAATTTCAACATTTCAGATCTCAAGATAGACTAGGTAGGCTACCAAGAAATGCACATAAGATCTTGGTATTAAATGAAAATAGTTTTGATCTAGAGACCCTCCTGAACAGTTCTCAGTCTAGACCACTGTGCTAAGATAATACAAAAAGGAATCCATTTAACCCCCACAGCAATCCTACCAATCTCCTAGCTTTACAAATAAAGTAACTAAGGTCCAAAACCAAACCCGGTGCTATCAAACCCGCTGGCTGACTGGGGACCCACAGACCATGAGTAGACCTGCTCCATGTGGATTCCAAGGCTCTACTCTGTACAGAGTACACTGCCCCACCGTGTGTTCTCCTGCACAGCAGCTGGTGAGTATCAACTGCTGACCTTGCTGGTTAGCAGCCAAGTGTTATAACAACTACAGTAGTTAACAGCTTGCCTAAGGTCATAAACTTGGCAAGTGACAGGGCAGGATTCAAATACCAAAGTCCATGCTCATAAAGAACCCTTATCAAATCAGTAAGAAGAAAAAAAAGGTCCATCTATAAAAAAAGGACAAGACAGACAACTCACAAGAGAATTCCACTGGTCAATAATATATTAAAAAGTAAGCAGAAACAAATATATCCATGAATGTGGTGGAAAATACAAGGGACAAAGTAAAAAAAAAATCTTAGCCATAACCAAATACCTTGAGGGAATGGATAGCTGGCCCTGAGGGATCAGACCTCAGTCTGGTGAGCCATCAAGGTCAGCTGGCAAATATAGTTCACAATGGCAATGTTGCAAATTAATTTGGTGAGCACCGACTGAGCGTGTGAGCAGCTATTTAAGGTGCAACTATGGGTCTTTTCCTGTCAAGAAATAAGAAGAGTGAGGAAAATCAAAGGCACATTGGAACAATAAGTTCAACAGACCACTGGACCCTGCATGCATCAGTCTCCAGTTGCTCTGTAAGGGATCATGTTAGGAGGACCTGGCCAGATTGGGGAAAAAATGTAGAGCAGCTCCCAAAATCATAAATGAGACCAAGATAACTAGTCAACTAGAAACGTGTGGGATGGCCAAGACAGTGAGCGGCTCCTGTTCACGCCTTCAGGTCAAGCACTGAGCTCACCTCCATGTGAGAATAAGAACAAACATTTAAGGACGAAGTTCAGAGTAGGTTGGGAAAGGAGGGAGGATGGAAATACGAAACACAAACAGGAAGATGGTACGTTGAGGGGATTGCAAGGATGAGTTGCAGCAGAATGAGCATGACTTGCTGAAGATGAAACTATGATCTGTTTTGTAAACCTTCACCTAATTCAGAATAAAATACTTTTTGAAAAAGCAGATTAAGGTAAGATACCACTTTTCACGATCTCAGTGACCAATGTTGTCAGAGTTTTGATCAGGGTTCAATCTGACAGACTGATCCCAGAAGTATTCACTGGTACAACCGATAGGGAAGGTAACCTAGCAGCAGGACTCATATGCTGTGAAAATGGCATTGCTCTTTCATCCGACAATTATGCTTTCAGGCACGTGTCTTACATAAGTCATGTAAATGTGTGATAAAATATTCCTACTTATCCAGAAAAAAAAAAAATATATATATATATATATTCCTACTTATTCATATCAAAAGAAAAAGTGGCAGCATTTTATCTATCAAAAATTAGTTAAATAAAAGAGGAAACTATCTAAAATGATGCTTATTAGCCTTGTAGTCATGATACAGTTGTGTGTTCCCTTTATAAAACTATATGTAAAGAACTAAACCTATTCCTGTCTGAACTTTTTAATATGAGCATATACATACATTTATAGCCATAGATAGGACCAAATATGTACAGTGGTCTTGAGAAGATGGGATTATAGACACAGAATTTTTATTTGTTACTATAATTTTCTTCAATCAAGAACATTTACCCCTACTATAATTAAACAAACATTTAACACTTTTTCAAAGTGCAGATGAATACTAAATTATATAACTTTTTCATGCTATACTATTAATAAGTCCAAAATGTAGGCTACACAAGAGGCCAGGATAGTACAATCAACTGCTGTAAAATTAAAATGCAAATACAAAAATAAAAATGCATGGCAGGATAATGCCAAAGTAGTACCAGGGGTTATTTGCTGAATTAAAGAATTGTAAGAGATTATTTTCATTTTTGTTCTCATCTACTTTCTAAATTTTTTTTAACTATAAAAATGGTATGACGGGCATGTGGTCCACTGTAACATCATGATAAAGAGAGAGAATCAGGAAATACAGGGAATCCAGGGCGGATGATCCCTTCAGGACCAGTGGTGAGAGTGGCCATACCGGGAAGGGGGAGGAGGGGTATAGAAAGGGGGAACTGATTACAAGGATCTACATTGAACCCCCTCCCTGGGGGACAGACAACAGAAAAGTGGGTGAAGGGAGATGTCGGACAGTGTAAGATATGACAAAATAATAATTTATAAATTATCAAGGGTTCATGAGGGAGGGGGGAGCGGGGAGGGAGGGAAAAATGAGGAGCTGATGCCAGGGGCTTAAGTGGAGAGCAAATGTTTTGAGAATGATGAGGGCAATGAATGTACAAATGTGCTTTACACAATTGGTGTATGTATGGATTGTGATAAGAGTTGTATGAGCCCCTAATAAAATGATATAAAATTTTTTTTTTTTAAAACCAAAACCATTTTACAAGAAAAAGAGAGAGAGAATCAGCATCAGCCGGAAGCTGAGTTCTAGGGAACCGGAGGTCCGGCATACATACCTCCTCCTCTCTACAAACTTTCTGTCAATTCTTACACTAGCTGTCCTTCCCAAAGCAGGGGTACTCTTCTGTTGGGTTTGGTAATTTGCTGCAATTGCCACACAGAACTCATCATACACATTAACGATTATGAAGCTTATTACAGAAGTAGCAGTGTATAATTCAGGATGAGGAATGACTCGGGATAGATACAGTGCTTCCATCAGAACGGCTTCTTGGCTATGCAAACAGACAAGCCACTCGCTGGCTCTCAGCCCTTGGGGCCTCATAAGGCAAGTATTACAAGCTCTTCAACTCCACTGATAAGTCCCCAGAGACATTCCACAAGACAGTCCAGTAAGACTCAGTCCAAAGCAGCTCCCTAAAGCCACGGGTTGGCAAGCCTACTGTGCCATCTCCTGATGGTCTCCTGGTTCTGCACCACGCTTGTTACTGCTGCTTACCATCATCACACAGTGTCTCTGGTGTCACAGCGCGTTTCCTCTCTGGCTCTTGGGTCTATTTGGCTTATCTGGTGCAGGGCCCAGGGTCCAAATGATGTGCTCCACTCACAATTCTTTTGCCTTGGCGGTAGGGAGTTCTCCAGAATTGACTCTATTCAGCATAGTTGGATGGCAAAACTGACCAGTTTCCTCGTTCAGAGTTCAATATACCGTATTTTCCTGGCTACACCCCCACAAAAATGTCAAATACTTTTAATTTGCTTTATTAGCAAGCTGTCCAGACTATAATCACCCTATTAGCAATCATTTTTCTGGGAGTTATAAGGCCATTGCAAGAAAGGAAATAGAAAAGTGATCTATTGCACCACAGCTACAATGTGCACATATAACACACATAATGTATTTCTACATCTATTACTACAATGTATATGCATTTCTATAATGTACATGTGTGGGATTATAAAGAGACTTTTCCCCAGCTTTGTC